CATCGAGTCGGTTCCAGCCCATAACGACCTTTACAGGGTTTCTGAGGAGTGGCTGGTGAGCTTGAACCACCAACCTTGATGTTCACACCATGCCGGGGACCCGCCTCGACATAGGGGTTCGGTTCACGAGGAGGGGATACCTGACAGCGATAACAATATATCAAGAATACACAGAAGGAGACAGAGAGAAACAATGAGGCACCCCAAAGCCAGGGTGGATACATCACTGGTGGGCAGGCTTGGAACTACAGACATCGTGGCCTCTGCAGGCAGCAACTCACTGCCCTGCCATCTTTACTGCGTGCCCTTTAACCCGTAATGCACTGCAATCTTTACTCCATGCCTTCCAACCAGTAATGCACACCTGGGGAGGCCCTGGCGTCTGTTTTATTTAGGGGAGGAGCTTCACACCAAGCTGGGAGGGACTTAGGCAAGGTACAGCTAACATCAGTACTTTTCCAGACATTCAGGTAACTTTACATCGTACTTCGCTAATTCGAATCCCAGGCCAGCAACTTGGATTCTCAGGCCCAATTAACATATCTATAGCCCCTGAGGTCAGTTGGGGGAAGGTGAGAGTAATGACAAAAGCTTGGGCGGAGTCCTGCTGCTTTGGCTTCCTGAGCCAGGTCTGCAGGAGGACTCCAGACGCCCAGGTGAATGGGCTGCACCTGGAAAAGGATTAGGGAGGATTGGTTCTTTGTCTATAGAACAAAGAACTGAGAAGTAGCTAGCATATTTTTAGTTAATCCTTTTGGAGAAAGGTTTGACCTTGCAACTTTTAGTCTTAGGCTTTAGGAAAATATCACATTTATCTGTGGATTATTAAGAGCTCCGTGTATTAAATTAATACATGTAACAATATTAAGGTAAAAAACAATTTGTCATTAACTGCCAGTGGCCTCATTTGTTACACTCGGGCCTATAGGGCCTCGAGCCTCTGACCAATCTTACATGGTCCCCAACAACACCAACTTTGCAGTCCAGCTCATTAACCCACAGCACCACACCAGAAGTTCGTGTATGTATGCTGTGTGGTGTGTGGCACTGTTCTGTAAGCACTGGACTGCAAGGTCAGTGATTCAAACTAAGTGCTCTGGGGGAAACCCTAAACAGGGTCACTATAGGTTGGAACCAGCTTGACGGCACTTAATAACAATGGCATGTGTATATATATATATAGCCCTGTTATGGCACTATAGGACTGGACTGCTAACCTCAAGGTTGGCAGTTCAAATCTACCTGCTGCTCCTTGGAAACCCTATACAGGATCATCCTGGCTCTCCAGCACTTAACAACAATCATATATACACGTGTATATGTGTATCAGGAGTCCTGGTATGGCGCTGTGGGTTAATGCGCCAGACTGCAAAGTTGTTTGAACTGCAAGGTCCGGTGGTTGAAGCTCACCAGCTGCTCCTTGGAAACCCTATACAGGGTCGCTATGGGTCGGAACCAACTCAAATGGCACTTAACAACAAGGTGTGTGTGTTACATTGTGGTTGTGAAGTGCCATCGAGTTGGTTTTGACTCGGTTGCAACCCTGTATAAGGTTTCCAAGGTTGTAAATTTTTGCGGAAGCAGAAAGCCTCGTCTTTCTTCAGCTTATTTGTCACATTCCCAATTTGTGATCATTGTGTTTTGAGACATTTGCTGTAGTTGTTGGTGGAACTGTGCCGTGGAGTCGATTCCGACTTGTCGTGACCCTGTATAGGGTTCCCAAGGCTGTAAATCTTGGAGCAGAAAGCCTCATCTTTCTCCTGCAGAACAGCTGGTAGTTTCTAACTTCTGTCGATTCCGACTTGTCGATTCCGACTTGTCGTGACCCTGTATAGGGTTCCCAAGGCTGTGAATCTTGGAGCAGAAAGCCTCATCTTTCTCCTGCAGAACAGCTGGTAGTTTCTAACTTCTGACGGTGAGATTAAGAGCCCCATTTGTAACCACTCCATTACCAGAACTCCTTCTGGTAGTTGTACTTCCTGCTACGTATAATAACAATCTTCCCACTTCCTCCTTGGGTTTCCTGTTTCCATTTCTCCTTTTTTGTTTCTGAGCTTTGTCTTTTGGAACAGTTTTGCCCTTTTGGATTTGTAGTTGGTTTATCTGAGGAGCAGGTTTCCCACGGGTATAGCATTGTCCCGTTCCTAGGCCTGTCGGTTGTTTTGACTGAAGAGAGTTCTCCTGGTCTGGGTTCAGTTTCGGGTTTGAAGGGTCTTGTGTTTAAGCATTAAAAAAACCTGCTTCCTTTTGTTCTTGTTGTTAAGAAACATACACAACAGAAAGTAACAAATTTCACAGTTTCTGCATGTATGTTTCAGAGAGTTGATTAAATGTTTCAGGTTCGGTAACTCTTAGCCTTCTTTCTGAAAGTTTTCCTCCTCGCTGAAGGGAACCACTCTACCCCCTGAGTTTGCTGCCTAACAGGCCTTGTTGTTGTTTATTTGATCCCATATAACAAACCCAGACTCACATGGTGGCCACCCTATAGGACAGAGTAAAACTACTCCCAATGGTTGCTGAGACTGTAAATCTTTATGGGAGCAGCCAGCCTAGCTGCCTTTTGCTCCAGCCTCACTGGTAGGTTTGAACTGCTGTCCTTGCAGTTAGGATCTCAGTCGACCGCACCAGCAGGCCTCCTTTTGATAGGGGTAGTTCTTAAAAGCACATCGTGGAGCCCCATGTATGCTTCCAGTTAAAAGCAAAATGGTTGTTGATTTGGTTTAAGGAAGACTTTAGGGGATATTTTTGATAAGGAGACTTAAGGTTGAAATATTTTAAGTATTTACTCAGGATATTTACTTCCGGAATTCACGATGGGTCCAGAAAGTCTGAATGTGATTACAAATTTGAAATTCTGTTCTGTATTTCTCTCCCTTTTTGATAAGAATTTTTGATCAAAACATTCAATCATGATTTTATATGAGTGTGTAACTCAGAGTGACGTGAGTTACAAATACTGTCTTCTACACCCAGGAACGCTAACCCTTTTCAAAGCTTTTAATCCCCCTGAACAGAGACCACATACCACTTAAGCATGTACTCCTAGTCAGCCTTCTGATAACCACCAATAAGCTTTGGTCTCTGGGCACTGGCTTCTTCTCAGCATTTCATGTATGTGGGAGTCTGCAGTTTTGCCCTCTTGGATCTGCCTTCGTGCTGTATTTTCTCGGTGCATTTATGTTGGGGCATGTGTACAGACAGACCTATTCTTTATGGCTGAATGTGTATAATCCAACGTGTTTATCCATCATCTGTTGGCGGACACTTGGATTATTTCTATTGTGCACGGTGGGATACGTGGATGAGTGTGTTCCTGCTTATTTTCTTGAGTGTGTACCAAGGAATGCCATTTCTGGGCCATGGGGTAATTCTTTGCCTCAGCTTTTGAGGAAGTACTAAAATGTCTGTTTGCAAGCCACTTCTTGGAAATGGGTGTTACGGTATTTCAGCTTGGTTCTGCCTGCTGCAAACGATCCTTCTAGCGGAATCGGGAATGTAGTCCACATGCAGAAAAATGGATGAACGTCTAGATTTAAAGACTGGTTCCTTTTAACTCTTGATCTCTGGCCCTGTGGGAATCTGTGAGTGTATGGTGTGTTTGTAACGTGTCTGTGGTGTGGTGTGGTGTGTGTGTGCAGTCTGTGTCTATGAGGAGGGTTCAAGGAGTTTGTGGAAAATGTAATTAAATGGAAACAGTCCACATACTTTGGAAGCCCCTCTTACGTGGTGTGAGTCCTTACTTGGTGACACTGTAGGATCAGCACTGCACTGCTAATCACAGGATCAGAGGTTCAAACCCACCAGCTGCTCCTTAGAAACCCTATACAGAATCGGTAGGAGTCTGAACTGACTCCACGGCACTTAACAACAGCAACGTCTTTGGTATGTGTATAACGTCTGTAGGTGTCCATGTGGCGTGGTGTGTGTTTTGTATGGAGTGTGTGTAAATGTGTGTGGGTGTATCTGCATGTGTGTATGTATTGCTTACATGTAATATGTGTGTTCGTGGGATCTGTGTGCGTGAATGTGTATGAGTGTGCTGCTATGTGTGTGTGATTGTGTGGTGTGTATGAGGGGACTTCAGAAAGTGTGTGGAAACACTCCATTATCTTTCATTTCCATTTTCCCACAAACTTAATTGAAAATCCCCCAGCTGTGTGTGTACAAGTGAGTGTTTGTGGTGTGTGTGATGTGTGTTTGTAGTGTGTGTGTTGTGAGTGTATTTGTGGGGTGTGTTGGTAGTATGTGTGTTGGTAGTGTGTGTGTGTTGTGTGTGTTGTTTTGTGCGTTGGTAATGTTTGTAGTGTGTGTGTTGTATGTTTGTGCTGTGAGTGTATTTGTGGTGTCTGTTGGTAGTGTGTGTGTTGCTAGTGTGTGTTGGTGTGTGTTGTGAGTACTGTGTGTTTTGTGTGTTGGTAGTGTGTGTTGCATGTTTGTGTTGTGTGTGTTGAGTGAGTTTGTGGTGTGTGTGGTGTGAGTCAGGGTGTTTGAGAAACTGGATATTCCACTGCCAACTCCATGTGAGCATCCGTGTGTGTGTCTTAGTGTCACTGTGCCCGTGTGTTGAGTGGTAGACTCCAAGCACACATCCATTGTGTGTGTGTGTGGTGTGAGTGTACGTGTGTAGTGCGGGTGTGAATGTGTATGTGTGTGGTGTGTTGCTTAAGTGTCACTGTATATGATTGTGAGAATCGTGTGTTGTGCCATAGACACCACATGTACACCCACGGTGTGTGGTGTATGTAGTGTGACTCCGAGTGTGTATGATTATGAGAACTGCATATTGAGCTGTAGACCACACACACACCCACGGTGCGTGGTGTGTGTAGTGTGACTTTGTGTGTGTATGATTGTGAGAACCGCGTGTTGAACCATACGCTTCCTGTCCTCATTGAGCGCCCCCCTGCCCCGACACCTGTGCTCCCATGAGCCGCCACAGCCCCTCCTTGCCCTCCCTGCCCAGTCCCCGTGTCTCTGACGGGCTGTCCTTATCTCCGCAGGCACCGGCACCTTTGGGCGGGTGCACCTGGTCCAAGAGAAGACGACCAAGAGCTTCTTTGCGCTCAAGATGATGAGCATCCCTGACGTCATCCGGCTGAAGCAGGAGCAGCATGTGCACAATGAGAAGGCGGTCCTCCAGGAAGTGAGCCATCCCTTCCTCATCCAGCTGTGAGTGCCTCTGTGCCCCCTCCTCTCTACACATCCAACCACAGGGCGGGGCCCAGCCGAGTCTTGTGCTCATGACTGTCCCCCTAAATACAAATCTAATCGCCACTCCCCCATCTGTGGATGATCCATGGCAGGTGTAAGAGGAGAATGAGAGGTTGGCAATTCGAGTCTACTCAGACGTCCCTCAGAAGAAAGACCTGGCAATCTGCCTCTAGAAGCTCCCAGTCATGAAAATCCACCAGAACCCAGTTCTATTCTGACCCATGTCGGATTGTGGCCGGGGGCATTTCAGATAGTTAATTTGGCTGCCCAATGAAAAGTTGTTCACTACAGCCCATGCGCAACTGCCTCCCAAGAAAAAGTCCTAGTTATGTGCTTCCATGAAAACCCGACGGAGTGCACTGTTCCACTCTGCACACATGGGGCTGCCGTGAGAAGGAGGTGATTGAACAGCAAGTAGCCTCCGCCCTGCAAGGGTCCCTGTGAATCAGAACCGACTCGATGCAACTTGACAACAACCGCTAAACCTACCTCCTATTGCTGTGGCTGTGATCCTGTTGGGGAATGAGGCTTTGTTATAGTAACGAAATCTTACTAGTGTAGTAGTTGTTGCTATAAAGTGCCACCGAGTCATTTCTGACTCATAGTGACCCTGTATAGGCTTTCCAGGGAGCAGCTGGTGGGGCTTGAACTGCTGACCTTGTGCTGATCTCACAGCGCCACACCAGGTGGGGTGAACCCTAAACTATAAACTACACACAGGGAAGACGATGTGCAGAAGAAAATCCAGCGATTGCTTGATACTAGACACTGATTGGATCCATAGATAGGACTTTCTCCTATCTATGGATCCTCGGAGTTTACGAAGTTGACGTCCAGGCCTTTCTTCCTACTCCCATCTTCAGTCTGGACGCTTCACTGAAACCTCTTCAGCCACACGAAAGCCTCCCCAACACACCGTGGTAGCTTTGTGTGAGTTGTACTAGCCGGGAGTTGAACTCCAGTCTCCCGCACGATAGGGGAGAATTGACCCACCATTTTACTTATTCCTGTCTTGGGAAATAGGCCTTTGGAGAGAGAAATTGATCTTGGTAGGGTTTGCATTCTTCCTAGGGTCTTTGTACGATAAGCACTGGACCGCAAGGTCTGTTTGAACCACTAGGTTGGCGGTTCAAAGTCATCAGCTGCTCCTCGGAAACTCTATACTGGGTCACTGTGGGTCGGAACCGGCTTGAGGGCACTTAACAACAACCACCACCAAGTCTATGTGGTCTCTTCTCTCATATTGCCATTTTTTTTCACACTTGTTTTAGGCAGAACACTTGGCGTTTTACCAAAACACAGGAAGTCCCAAACTTTAAAAACAGGGTGTGTCTCAAATGGTGGTTTGCAAGTTGAATTTTCCTACAAGTGCGTTTTCCTCTGAGAGAACAATGGAGTTAGTTTAGTAGACAGGCTTTGGTTT